GAAAATTTCATTCATCTTTTGTATGATGGACTGATTCTCATTTCATCATAAGGGGGAGTATATGTAATATGAATGAAATATTCATTTCCGAACATTGTTAAAGGGAATCTGATGCAAAGATCAAGGGGGAGTGACTTCGATAATGGCAAAAGACTCAAAAGAAGAAGTGCGACTGAAGATCATTACAGAAAGATTTTTTGTGTGCTTCAACGACTGAGAGATATTGAATGTGAAGATCATKTTCACAATAGTTTACTGAAGAAGTGTTTTCTGAAGATTTTTTGAAGATCAAATCTTGTAAAGTGTTTCTGAAGATCGTTTTGGTTCTACATCGTCAAAAGAGAAGATCACCGTGATTCTACATTCGAGGGGGAGTGCTAGAAGATCTTTCTCAACAGTTGATCGTTTGAAGATTTCTTTTGAAGAAGACATTTTGTGCATAAAGTTTCAAAGTTCAAACAAGGACTCAACGTGCAGAATTTTCTTTCAAGTCTGAATACAAAGGGGGAGAATGTTAGGACTGAAAAATCAGTATTAATTGTATTCGTCTTGAAAGATTAATTTTAGTCTATAATTGTAAAGTCAATGTGTTTGACTTTCTTAGACTAGTTTGACTTTGACTTTGTCTTAATATGTTGACCTTATAAATAGGTGGTAATCTTTGTAATTAGTAGTAAAAGGAGAGCTAATTGTAATATAGATTGATAATAAAAGGTTTGACTGAATTGAGAGGATTGACTTTTCCTCTCAATATTCATATGAGTTCATAGTGTTCTTAGATGATTATCTTGAATCTGCCATGATTGATTATGAAGATTATGAAGATTGATCAGTGATTGTGGACACACATTAAACCAAATATAAATTACTTCGTTATTGTAACTAAATAATAAAAAATTGAATTAAAAAATTACACAAAAAATGAGGAATTTTAAATAGTTAATTTGATACGAATATCGATACATTTTTGTTATGCATAAAAGTACTGTATATTGATGCATATTACTTAAAATTCAAGTTTACAAGTAATTATGCATAAGTACAACTTATTAAAGCTCGATGTTTGAATTCGTATAAATAACTGCGGATAAACATAATCAAATAAATGATATACATTTCATTTTAAAATCTAAAAAATCTAAAATATAATTAGAATAATTATCCAGTTCCAACAAAAGAAATAATTATTATCTTTTATATAAAAAAATTATATTATTAAACTAAATATAAATTATTTCGTTATTGTACATAAATTAAATTATAAAAAAATTGAATTAAAAAAGTACACACAAAAATGAGGAATTTCAAATAATTAATTTGATACTAATATCGATATATTTTTGTCAAATTTTTATGATATCTTCAAACATATATTTTATTCAAAAATAAAAACATCATCGTTTTCTCAAAATCACATAAAGCCATATTATAATATCGACTGAGATAAAAAATAAAATATTAAAATCACGATTTATCTCGCTGCATTGCGCGAGTACGCTTCTAGTACTATATTATAAAGCATTTGACGAAACTCTTAAAAACCATTTTTTTTGCATAAAGTACTGTTTATTAATACATGTTACTTAAAACTCAAAATTACAAGTAGATTTTGTGTAAGTACAACTTATTAAAGCTTCATATCTGAATTCGTGTAACTAATTATAGATAAACATAATCAAATACAGGATAAACATATCATTTTAAATATATAAAATCTGAAATATAATTAAGATAATCATTAAGTTCTAACATAATCTTTAGGTATTATCTTTATAAATATTATATTATTAAACCAAAAATAAATTACTTTTTTATTAAACTTAAATTAAATTATAATAAAAAATTAAATTAAAGAAATTATCTATACTATATTATAAAACATTTGACAAAAACTCTTAAAAAATATTTTTTATGCATGAAATACTGCTTATTGATGAATATTACTTAAAATTCAATATTACAAGTAAATTGTGCATAACTACAACTTATTAAAGCTTCATGATTAAATTCGTGTAACTAACTATAGTAAATATAATCAAATACAGAATAAATATCTCATTTTTAAATATAAAATATCTAAAATAAAATTAGGACAATCATTGAGTTCTAACAGATTAATTAATATCTTTACAAAAAATATATTGTTAAACCAATCTATACTATATGAATCATTTGACAAAAACTCTTAAAAACCATTTTTTATGCATGAAGTACTGTATATTGATGCATATTACTTAAAATTCAAGATTATAAGTAAAATATATCTAAGTACAACTTATTAAAGCTTCAAGTTTGAATTCGTGTAATTAACCACGGATAAATATAATCAAATAGATGATAAACATCTCATTTTAAAATATAAAATATAATTATGATAATTATCAAGTTCTAACAAAATAATTAATCATTATCTTTATAAAAAAAATTATATTATTAAACCAAATATAAATTACTTCGTTATTAAATCTAAATTAAATTATAATAAAAATTACACAAAAAAAATATGAATTTTAAATAATTAATTTGATATTAATATCGATATATTTTTATCAATTTATTTTATATCTTCAAATTTATATTTTATTCAAAAATAAAAACACTATCGCTTTTTCAAAATCACATAAGACCATAGTATAATATCGACTGAGATAAATAGTAAAATGAAATATTAAAATCAAGATGTATCTTGCTGCATTGCGCGAGTACCCTTCTAATTTGATTATGTTTATCCACAATTAGTTATACGAATTCAAACATCAAGCTTTAATAAGTTGTACTTTTACATAATTTACTTGTAATCGTGAATTTTAAGTAAACATTGGTTTTATGTGGTTTTGAGAAAGTGATAATGTTTTTTATGTTTGAATAAAATATAAATTTAAAAATATCACAATTTTTAAAAAAAATATCGATATCAGTATTAAATTAATCTTTTTAAAAATTCTTGTGTTTTGGTGTAATTTCCTTAATTGATTTTTTTAATTATAATTTAATTTAGGTTTAGTAACAAAGAAATTTAATTTAGGTTTAAGAATATAATTTTTTTATAAATGTAATAACTAAGTATTCTGTTAGTTATCAATGATTATCTTAATTATATTTTAGATTTATTGTATTTAAAATGAGATATTTATCCAATATTTGATTATGTTTTTAGTTAGATGAATTCAAGTATGGAGTTTTAATAAGTTGTACTTATGCACAATCTACTTGCAATCTTGAGTTTTAAGTAATATGCATTAACAAACAGTACTTTACGCATAAAAAATGGTTTTCAAATTTTTTTGTCAAATGTTTTATAATATAGTATAAATATTTAGCAGTAGTTAGTTACACGAATTTAAAAATAGAGTTTTAATAAGTTGTACTTATGCAAAATTAGTTGTAATCTTTAATTTAAGTAATATGCATTAATTAACGGTATTTCATGTATAAAAAATAATTTATAAGAATTTTTATAAAATGTTTTATAATATATAGTATAAATGTGATTTTAAATAGTTTATTGAGGACATCAAAACGTGGATTTTAATAATGAGCGAATAAAATTATTCGAAAAAGTAGAATCACATAATTCTTGAGTCTTGTGTCTTATCCGAACCCTAACATAACCTTTTCCAAAGGTAATGACTATATTTGCATTAAAGGAAGCTTCTGAATATATACATATATATATATTTAATGATCTCCTGCCTCACCGACTATTTGTCCAAAGTTTCGCTGGAATCCACTCACAAAAAGGTTACGTTTCTAAGGTTACGTTTTTAAGGATGCGCAGATTATATGAGATAGGATATAAAAAAAAAAATAGTTTTATGTTTGACTTGTTATGGACAAAAAAAATATAGAACAAGGTGGGACTATTTTTAATTTTAATGAGACAAATTTTGTTATTTCTTGTTCAACCAAAAAAGATAAAACAACATGAGACTAAAGTTAAAATGACAATATTTTGGTTGATTTGTTGTCATTTTATAATCATTATATGATATAAAATAACATTTAAGGGTAATATGATCATTTTAATAGTTTTGTCATATCCTGTCCTAATCGTACCAAACATAGGACAGACAATTAGTCATGTTATGTCTCGTCTGCGTACCAAACACTACCTAAACGCCCTACTCTAACATACCTTAAAAACGATAATATAAATAATAATTATTATTTTAGCAATAATATAAAAATAAAAAATTAATTCATGCCCTATTTATACCTCCTATCCTTAATGTTGCTTAAGCAGGAACCCCTCTAAATCTTCCATACGTACGTCCTTTTTCTCCTCTCTTTTTCTTGAATAATTATTTTTGACGTAAATTTACGTTTTTAACAGTTCAATTTACGTAACTATTCAAATATTATCGTTTTGCACACATTTAAGTATCTGACTTCTATGTTTTTACGATATTTTCAGGAAAAAATGGAGATGAGAGTGATTATCGAAATTGATCCGTTCGATGGATGTGAGGGTTGCAAGGGCAAGGTCGAAGGGAGGATCCGTAAAATGAAACGGAGGCTTGGTAGCGTTGGCGAGATCGAGTTGTTAGCATGGGGTGATGAGAAGGAGAAATTGACTGTTTTAACGACTATAAATCCAGACGCGATCGTAGCTGCTCTTATGTGCAAATTCAGAACCAAAAAAATCACTTGGTCGCAAGATGTCACCCTTCCAGTTCCAGACCCACACCCACAAAACCAAAATAATAACCTCACCGGACAACCGGGGCCACCGACTACTCCTCTCCGACCACATGGTCAATTCCCGTCACTTCCGTCACCAATAAGGCCAACAGCCCCACCACTCCCCGACTTCACATATGAAACACATTATTATCCGTGGCCTATGCCTCTGCAACCAATATGGCCAACAGCCCCACCATTCCCCACGGACCCCACGTATGGACTAAGTGATCCGTTGCTCTGGCCCCCGCCACAACCAATGCCAACAGCCCCATCATTCTATGACTGGGCTCGTAACCCGTTTCGTTAGGACTTGAAGGAAGAGCCATGCACCGGTATTTTCAGTTGGTATAATTTATATGTCATTGGTCTTGTATGTAATTATGCTCGGTTCTTTTGGCTTGTTTCCGTATCGTCCATGTCAACAGTAATGTGTAATAAAAAGTTAATTGGGGTTAGGCTTTAAACCCTTTGTTGTGTGATATCTCCTTTTTTTTTTTTTAAGTTGAATCGTATTTCCTTTAGTTTTTTATCCTTTTATTAATTCTTTTCTTTGTGAGAGTTTTATTTGGACGTATTTAAAGTTGCAAATATCCAAAAACAAACTCAAACGAGTTTGTAATGCGGAAACGACAAACTCGAACTCTCAACGGAACAATAACAATCAACCACACAATAACAGGAATAAGCGAGAGATAAAACGACACCGGATTTCCGTGGAAAACGCAAAACGGGAAAAAACTAATGGCGGAGGAGACTACCGAGAAGTCCATTATAACCGATCGATGTTACAATACTTGAGAACGGAGAAATGGATGAAGAAATTACAGGTTAAAGCTAATCTAATATCGCTCTTAATTTTGTTGGAGAAGTTGACGATCATGTTTAGAGATGACCCACCGTTAATTTTTAACAGGAAACTGCATATAACCGTCCATGATAAACCTTGATGCGAGTTCCAATGTGGGTTAAAGTCGCCGGCTTCATATTCACAAAACAAACAGTGCTAAGAGGCACACTGTTGTGTTGATACAACCTCAGCTCCTTTCTTGACTTCATATGTCAACTTGGTAAATCACTTCTTCTGCATGGATATTGGATTCCATGGACCATGCATCATATCTGGATACACGTAATACATATATATATATATATATATAATATTACACCATCTAATCCCATTACAATTGGTCGATTTATTAAAATAACCCATAAAAATGACATTTTTTAAAAATAGCCCCTCATTTAGCATTACGTTAATCGTAGAGAGATTTTTTTGCAAAAAAAAAAAATTGAAAGTGAAGATGGAAGTGATGGTTTTGTGTTACTTAAAAAATTTTGAATTGTTTATATTGCATCATATGGCTCTTATGCACCACGCATCATATGGTGCGTAAGGGTGCGTGATACATAAGGGTCATATACATTTGATTAAAAAGTTGTGACATAATCATATAAAGTTAAAAAAATTGCAAGAAAGCCCTTTATGCATCATTTAATGGTAATGCAAAATGGAGGACTTTTTTTTGAAAATGTCATTTTTATGGGTTATTTTGATAAATTTAATATTTTAAAGGGTTAGTTTTGTCAACATCCCATTAACGGCTGTTTGGTCTACGATGACGGGGGACGCCTCATGACTCTCATCCAACGTGGTAAAGCACAAACCGGTTCAAAGTTGTCTGAAATCAGCCAATCAGCACAAATCTGATAATCATTTATGGTGGGTCCCACTTTTAATAAAAACACACCATATACATCTGAAGAAAATGAATAAGACAAGGAGCTCTAAAATCTAATTCCTTTAAATTATCGACCTTATTTTAATTTCTTCTATTTTTATTGTTATTTTTATGTTTTCCATTGTAATTGTATTTTAATCCCTTATAACAATTTTATCAGTTCAATGTTAATTTTGAAAACCCGAAAATTGTGATAATTTTGAAAGTTAATGATTCATATGTTATTTCATATGATTTTTTTTCTTGTTTTATCATGAATTTGTTTCATAATGTGAATCTTTTTAAAAAAATTCTTAAAATAAAATGTCGTATTAGTTATTTTGTATAACACTTTTGAGAATTATCTTATAAAAACAAATTTTTTATGACATTTTTTCAAATAATGTCTTACATAATTGTTAATACAACATTTTATTTATAAATATCTGAACTTATTAGAACTGATTATAAATCTATTGTAACACTTTTAAATTTAGTATAATTGCCAACCACCTCCTTTTATGGACCCCCAAACTTGATACTGCCATGTTGATAGACATAAGACTCTCAACAACAAAAAGTTAAAAGTTAGATCTCAAGGCATTTTGATTGTTTAAAAAAATACCAACAACTCAATTGTTCCATTAAAGTTATAAATATTATATATATATATATATAT